GTCAAAGTAGTGGCTGCGGCGCGTCGAGGCACTTCTTCGACGGCCCCCGTCCGCCCGGCCTGCCGGCCCGATCTGAAGAATTCATGGGCCGGCAGGCGGGCGAGACAGAATGGGCGGGCACTACTAACCAAGCCAAGTTCTCGCCGATAGGCGCTGGTAGCTTGCTTCCAAGCCTTGCCTTATATAAAAAAAAGTAGTTTGTTGCCATGGCCCGAAGGAGCCTTAAGCACTTGTACAATGCTCAAGTAAAGGCTTCTGGGCAACGAGTAGGGTAGGATGGAGCCTTTACTTGAGCATTATATTAGTGAAGCGCGCCGTATATATTGAGGGAAGGGGTCTCTTTCCTCGCCCGATATGGTAGAGGTCGACCCCCTATCACCTTCGGTGCCTCCTTGTGGTCCTTCTCTTTAGCTTTTCCTCGGCCTTTAGAGCTAGTTGATAGGCCACTTTCCGCATCCGATGCATCGAGATTTCATCTTGGATTTCTAACCTCAAGCCCTATCAAGCAAGGGATTCTTCGTCGGATTCGTTCAAGCCGTTGCGAATAAACAATTGGCAGAACTCCGCAACTGTTATAGGAGTAGGGGCTTTCTAGTACGCTTCTCCCCCCCCTATCCTTTAAAGCGAAGTGGAACCTTTGGAACAAGCTTTGGGTCTAATCGGAGGGTAGAAATTTCTCCCGCAACCTCGATCGCATATTGTCTCATGTACTTCCCTTTGCCTTTCGGCTCGCGCCTTGCTTGGACTTGATTCCACCAAATTGAGGCATGACCCGTACTCAGGAATTTAACCTTCGCACACCTTGGATAGTTCTTTCCAATCAAAGAACTTCTCCACGCTACTTAGCCAATCAAGAAAGTCCTCGGGATGCAATCGGCCATGGAAATCGAGAACGTCCACTTTGATCCCACGATCTTCCTTTTATTTCGAAGCCCTTTTAAATAAGGCCCGGATCAAGCGCTTCCTTATAAAAAAAAATGCTTATATTCACTTCCTACCTCCTGTCTTGAACAGGATCATGCGAAAGACCCTTAAGGGGATTGGGAAGGGCCGTAGAGTTGGCAAGCTCTCTTTTTTGGAGAAACTTTGTTTACCTCACTCTTTTGCCTTTTCTGCTGTGTCTGGTGTTGTTCCCTCCCCCTTTTTTGTTGTGGCATCGTAGATTAGGACATATGTCTGCAGCCCAAGGCTTAGATATTTTATTTCTACTGGAATGTTGGGGTCTGTACCTAACATTGAGATTTCTACTTATATGGGTTGCAAACGGGGAAAAGGCTCGGCCCTTCCTTTATTAAAGAAGCTCTTTCTACTTCTCCTTTTGATCTTGTGTCCGAAGTCCATCCTGCCCCTCTGTTATCGAAAGGGGGATCATCCGTATATGTTTTTTTTGACAGAACAATGAAAAAATTTACTAAAATCAAGGTTTTCCGTTCTGATTCTGGGGTATATCTCCGCTGCCTTCCGAACTCTGCTTGCTTCAACTCACTTCACTTACAAAGCGCTTTTCCAACGATCCTGCCCCCACACTCCTCAGCAGAATGGGGTTGCCGAGCGGAAACATCGCCATATACATATATTGGAGACAGCTCGCTCTCTCTTGCTCTCAGCTTCTGTCCCTAGTTTATTTTGGGCTGAGGCTGTTCTGACTGCCGTATCTTTTTTGAACCGCTTCCTCTGTCATCTCTGGTCTGTCTCTTTTTGAGAGAAGATTGTCTACCCCGCCTGGACTATGAAGAGCTTCGAGGGGAGGCCGCCGCTTCGTCTGGAGCCGGGCGCCGTGTAGGAAGACTCGCCCTAGCCACTATAGCGACCCCACCCCCAACTCTAGCTGAGAAGCACCCTCCATCCACTTCCCCTTTTCCGTGTGCCCAAAAGCCCGCCCGCCCGGTTTATGAGCCCCCTTCCGATTCCCTCACCCAATCTCATGAGAAGCAAGCCCAGCAGGCCCAGCCTTAGCCTGTCCCCAGACAGAGCCAGCCCTCACCAGGCTGGCTGGCATTGCTAAATGCTCCGCCGCGAAGCCAAGCTCTCCCGATCCCGAATACGACAGATGCGGAAGTGGCTAAAGAAGTCGGAGGAAGAAAGTTGTTGGGCAATTGTATGCGCGAGGGTACATTATAATTTGAGAATTGGCAACATTGACAGAAAGGGGAAGAAAAGGGGGTAGGAATAAACTTTTTTAGGTGTAGCTATACTAAAGTAAGTAGTCGGCCTAACCTTTGGTTCCCGTAACCAAGGTTTTCTTTCTCACTCCTTATGTTATGTACTTTTTCTTACTTAATCCATACCTTTTTACCTTCTCTGAAGTGTGGGGCAAAGGGTGCCCTCTACTTCTACTTCTAACTAAAGGCGAACTGCAAGCATTGCAAGCAAATAAAAAGCCCCCGCCCGTTTGAGTCGTTGCGAGCCGGAAAGCGTACCGGCAGTTTGAGTCGCGAAGGGGCCGCTTGCTTAAAAAATTTTTATTATAATAAATAATAATAAAAATAGATATATAATTATATAATTATATCTATAAACTAAGAAAATCCGTTTTTTTTTAATCCAATTGTTGAAGAGGAAGAAGCAGATAGAGCAAAGGCCTCCTCTTTCCGTCCGCTCTTCCCGAAGTGAGCGAATTGCATGTAGAGATCCGTAGGGGCTTATAGTTTAATTGGTTGAAACGTACCGCTCATAACGGTTATATTGTAGGTTCGAGCCCTACTAAGCCTACCACCCCCTTCTCTGCACCCGATACAAGGCAGTCGAAGTCCTCGCCACCCTGCAGATCTCAATCTAGCGACGGCACCTGGAACCACACAGCTTCCGCTGCCCTTCGGGCACGCCCCCTACGCTTACCACTCACCTACGCTCTTGCGGCATGCCCCCTTCGGACAATACGGCTTTCGTAAGTAATACGCGAAGCAGCTGAGCGATAGCTCTCTTCGATCGCTATATTCTTGCGATAGCGAAGGCGTGGTTCATCCTCTAAGAGAGAGTAGATGCGAAGATTCGGATCGAAGATCTTCGCTTGGGCCGTCTCGCGAAGATCGGCACTCGAAGGCTTGAGGAGCAGCCCGCTAAAGGGGAAGCCGTGGAGACGGCGGACTCGCCAGTCAGGCACACCGTGAGGCTGACTACAGCAGACCGGGGGGTTACAATTCCAGTTTTCCTGTTTTGTTTCAATTTCCGGGAATGAATGTAGGAAGTGCAGACGGGTGTGAACATTCAACCAAAGGCATCTTGGGTAGCTAAGCATTGTGGCCATCACAGTTCAAGCTACATATGGCTGGCGTACAACCTACGGCCAAAAGAAAAACAACAAAAAAGGATGCCGTACCTTTAGTCTAAGATTAGACAAAGAGCAAGGGGGCTATGAAGCACTGCCGGGTAGACCATGGCTCCAACCGGGGTGGTTCATGACTGGGCTAATAAAAAGCAGTCTCAAGCAGGGAAACGCGGGATGGAAGGCGGAAAAGACTTGGCTTTGTTTCACAGAAAAAGGACTAAGGAAATTTCGTTTCCGTAGTGGCGATGCGTTGACCTGGTTGAAAAATATATATAATATAAGGGCGATTCTGCTAGCCAAATCACACTAATGCGATTCATTCGCCCGGAGCAATTCAAACTCTTAGTAAGACTAGGCGGGCGACTCATTCTATTCTCTGGGTAGGTGAAGCGTCTAGCTTAGGGGGGCGCGTCGAATCGCTGAAAGGCCTTGGTGATTCTCCAATTTGGTAATCTGAAGATAGAAAACCAAAATGATTCCAAACTTAACTTCAATAGTCTCGTATCCACGCTGCCCCGACTCCAAACTCGATGTTTGTTAACTAAGCACAAACTCTTTCTTATCAAACAAACTCCTTTTTCGTTCCCTTGTACAGCCCTTACCAGGCTGTTTTAATTATGTGTTCTTTGCAGTGTATAGGAATGAGTTAAGCCAATGCATATAAATAGACAGGCCGGGCTCATCCTTTTATGTTGAGGTCGGTGCAAGTCTGTCTATGATTAAGAGTATAGGTGGTGTTGAAGCTGGCTTATTCATGCTAGTCATCTTAGAGCTATGAGTCAGAACAATGTTCACCAACTCTTTTATAGTAATCTTGTTCATATATCGAAAAGCTTTTGAATATGAGTTTTTAATTGTTATATTAAAGTGTTTTGTTGTTTCCTCCCCAAGGCAGCATTGCCGAGCGGGCGATCCCTGTCTTGTTTATCCAGCTAGCTTTTCTCCGTGGTACTCCAATTCTATTTGTGAGAGCTCGGCTACTTTTTGGACCTTAATTCTCAAAAAAAATGCCTACCTATAGAGCGCTGAGTTGAAGAGGGAACAAGTCCCAAGATGATAAGTGGGGAAAAAGTAAAAAAAAAATCTCTTCAAACCTGAGCTTTTCGGTTCGCCCCCCCTATGTGGTCGGTCTTCTTACCAGTCTGCCTCCTTTCTCTTGATGGAATATAAAAAGCCCGAGCTCCAGCTTTGCTTGCGCTCTTCACTGGCGCTCGCCAGATGTATCACTCATCCCGCTCCAAAGGCAAGGAGTCTTCTGTATGTTAGAATCTTTACGGGAATGAATCGCATATGTTGGTTGAGAATTGCTCGGGAATTCATTTATAGTTATTTTGCCAGGTTCTAGGGTTGGGCTACTCTTCTTTTTTGTCGATCGAGCCGCTTTCCCTCATTCCACTCGTCCAGCCTTCTTCACGAACTTGTACAATCGATGCCACAAAGATAGACAACTCTATTATCAAAGAAATAAGGAAACGGGCGACGGTTTGGCACCAGATATCCGGGGGTGTAGAAAGAGCAGCTGTGAGAAGCGGAAAAACCATCAAAAAACGACGATTGTTCGTGAAGGTTTCCACAGAAAGACCCCTTAGTTCTGGCAAACGGATCACAATTACAGGTACCTGGGAGCATACCGATGGAATGAACGAAATACGAACAGTTAACATAATATGGTCATAGATCTTAGGTTGTAACTTGATCATGAGCGAATTTGTTGATGTTGCACCCACGAAGTATGGAAAGTGCCAAACATTGGGAACTACCCGGGGAGGAGTTAGGAACAGGAACAAGGAGAAGCGAGAACCACTTAAATAGAGGAATCGATTGTATTTCGTCCTTTGTTCTCCATAGCAACTGGGGATCAAAAAGCACCAAATTTGATGACTTATTAAGGGAAAGACGAAATAAGAGCATGCTATTGAAGACGTTGCAACATATGTCGGGGAGGCCTCCGTTGATTGTGTACAAACAAAATACGAGTCCAAGGGCAGGGTAAGAAAGGGTTTAGCTAATGGAGATATTAACTCTTCCGGGAACCAGTAACGCGTAAACCATGTCAAACCAAGACCGATCAATATCCGAACGGAACGGATTCGAACTTCTCCTAGAATAGTTTCCGGTGCGAAATGAAATTCATAGGATATATATATGAGTAATTCAAAGGAAAAAAGAAATATTTGATAGGATCCGTTTCGGAAACGTAGAATGTAAGAAAAAAAATGGTTTTGAATAGAGAAATCACCATTTCCCGGGCGGATACGGAGAATTCTAGCCGCATAAACGACTGGAAAGCGGAATCCAGCTCAGCGGGTGGACTACTGAGCTGCGTGGTGTTCAAAAAGTTAACCCATTCGGGGTCTTGGTAAGGAAGATTCAACAAATACAAATCTAGTAGCTCCCGTTCAGTAGGAAGAATTTTTAAAGTTCCAATAAAGGGTAAAAACAAAAAAAGAAGAGAGACTTGTGCTTGCTCTCCCAATTCAGGAAGACGTAAATCGCCGGTTGGGCTGGTCCAACCAAGAAAGGCATGGGGCATTGCTTGTTCTGTTAGGTTCTTAGTATTAGTGGTCTACCTTTTCTTCTTTTACTTCACGGTTTCCTTGATAGCTGGAAGTTCTCCAAAAGTATGAAAAGCTGGAGGACTTTGTACCATCCATTCCAGTGTGGTTGAATTCTGTTCAAGAGCCCAAGGACTTGGAGCACATCTTTTGTTATTTCCACTGCTTGAAGTGATTGTTACGACCACGAAGAAACGACGAATCCCAACTACGGATATATAAGAGCCAAAACTGCTAATGGCATTCCACCCAGCGTAAGCATCTGGATAATCTGGAATGCGCCGTGGCATACCCGATAGCCCTAAGAAATGCATTGGAAAGAAGGTCAGATTAACCCCGAAAAAAGTGATCCAAAAATGTATTTGCCCTAAAGTTTCAGGGTATATCCGACCAAAGATTTTACCCACCCAATAGTGAAATCCTGCAAATAAAGCAAAAACGGCTCCCATAGAAAGTACATAATGGAAATGTGCAACCACATAATAAGTATCATGTAGAGCAATGTCTAGCCCAGAATTTGCCAGGACTATTCCAGTGAGTCCTCCTATGGTGAACAAAAAGATGAACCCTACAGCAAATAACATGGGTGTTTTGTATTGTATCGAACCCCCCCCACATGGTAGCGATCCAACTAAAGATTTTGATTCCAGTGGGGACAGCTATGATCATGGTAGCTGCGGTAAAGTAGGCACGGGTATCAACGTCTAAGCCCACAGTAAACATATGATGAGCCCAAACAAGAAATCCAAGAACACCTGTACTGATCATGGCATAAACCATGCCTAGATACCCGAAGACCGGTTTTCCCGAAAAAGTCGAAACGATATGACTTATGATACCGGATCCAGGCAGAATGGGAATATACACCTCTGGATGACCGAAGAACCGAAAGAGATGCTGGTATAATATGGGGTCTCCCCCTCCAGCGGGATCAGAAAAGGTTGTATTAAAGTTTCTATCGGTTAATAACATGGTAATTGCCCCCGCCAGTACCGGAAGCGATAATAAAAGTAGGAATGCTGTCACTAGAACGGACCACACAAATAGGGGTGATCTATGCATAGTCATTCCAGGTCCACGCATGTTGGAGATAGTTGTTATAAAATTGATAGAACCTAAAATGGATGAAACACCAGATAGATGAAGACTAGAAATTGCTAAATCAACCGCTCCCCCAGAATGGCTAGTAATACCACTTAAGGGCGGATAGACCGTCCACCCAGTGCCGCTACCCACTTCTACTAAGGCTGAGCTTAATAGGAGCAAGAGACTTGGTGGCAACAACCAGAATGAAATATTATTTAATCGTGGAAATGCCATGTCAGGTGCACCTATTAGAATCGGAACAGACCAATTACCAGATCCACCTATCATCGCCGGCATAACCATAAAAAGATCATTAAAAAGCGTGAGCTGTTATTAAAACATTATAAAGTTGATGATTACCACCAAGAATTTGATCGCCGGGTCGTGCTAATTCCATACGAATCAGTACTGAGAAGCATGTGCCCATCACTCCAGCAATAGCACCGAAGATGAAATATAGAGTCCCTATATCCTTGTGGTTAGTGGAGAACAGCCATCGTGTCATAAAATTGCGATTTACGAAAAAACGATTCCTTCCAGAAAAGCAAGTAAAGTTGTTCTTACCTTCCTGTACGAGGAGTGCAGAACTTTAGTGAGTTGTGGTTGGTTGTTGACCAACAGAAAGCATGGAAAAAAAAAGAAAAAGGGAGGTGGAGAAGGTCCGGAAAGCCCTCACTTTATTGATGGGGGACATTTTGATCCCCTTGTTGACCAAGCAAGGTCGCACTGAGACTGAGAACACCAACGGAACACTCTCTTACCCCCACTGACCAGCTAGTGTGCAATGACGACCGGCCCGCAAGCTACTCGATTTTTTTTTCTTAGCAGCTCTGGATTCTATTCTAGATGCTACTTACTTACATATGATGTTTTCTTTCACAAGGTAGCGCATCTATATAGCATAGCTGAAAGCGGACAAAAAAGCTGTTCCCATAGCGTTACGTAGGCTTAGCTTAGCCTCTTTCTCTATCTACATTTATATATGATATGATAATATCACCAGTGGACAGCGAACAAAAAGATGCCACACTAAGAAAGCAATCCAATCAGGAACAAGGTAGTTAGGGACATGCGGACTAACTGCTCTGACATTCCTGTTTTTTGAAATGAATCTTCGGACCTTCTGAAACAGATGGCCCCCCCTTCTCCCAGACTGGGACTCACTCGGATAGCGAACAGGACGGCCTGGAATGGGAATTCGACTTCGATGGGGTTTCCAAAGCCCGGGCAAGGCGGGCGGTGTCCACCTTTCAGGGCCAGGGATGAGAATCGATCTGAATGCTAACATTGGGCGGGCCGCCAATAGGCTGAGGTGTAAGCCCTTATAAAACTTTTCCTTTCTAGACGCACCTCGCCCCTTGTGAGTCTTTCTTCTCCCAAAAATGTTCTGAGCTCAAGTGCTAATGTGGTCTGAGGGAAAGGATTTCTTCTTGTCTGCTTAGCTTATTCTTTGGCCTACCACATTTCCGGTCAATGCTGCGAGTGCAGTGCAATCATTTTTTATTACGGATCTTTTCCGGCCCTCTTTCGCTTCGAGCTTTTTACTGAAAAAAGATATTCGGCTCCTCTTTTTATATCTTTTGCAATTGCTGCTCACTCTGGGGATCTACCTCGAATTCGATAGATTTATATCCTGCCTATAAGTAATTTCGTATATAGAAGATAATTTTTTCTTTTTAACAGGTCCTTCCATCCATCCACGAAATATTTATTCACGAGATCTGACGATTGATGATTTTATGAAAGTAGGTTTGAATGAATTCCGCTCTTTGATTTTGGTCTTTCTTGGTCACTATAAATTGGTTTAAAATGCGAAGAATTGACACATGAGCTTGTAGGGCCCGTTGAAGTCCCGGGGGAAAAAAGAGGGCTATAAGTAGGCCGTTTACTATTGCTATAAGGGCTGCTCGCCTTTATACGGCTTGGCTTCGCTATCGCTCCTATGTAGTGATCGGCCTAAAAAGTAGTATTCCTACCATACTTTTATGCCTATTATCTAGTGCTAGAAGCTTCGCCAGAAGCAAGCAAGACGAGGTCGCTCTGCTTCGTAGACAAGGCTCGTTCCGTACTTTACTTACGAGCTCGTGTAGTACTCGCCCCTATCTCTAAAGGGGCTTATGCACTCCACTCGCTGTTTACTAAACGAGCGTTAGAGCGAGCGAGCGAAGCCTTCAATTTTGTGGCTTCCCCCCCCTCTCCCTCTCCCTATGGTCGAGCAAGTTTCACTCCCTCACCCTACTCTTTCATTTCCGCTTAAGCTTCCCCCGTTTGGGGGATTAATTGATTGGATACCCGAGAACCATAATCTTTCCTAGGAACTGCTTCTACGACGATAGGCATAAAGGCATGATTAGTTCCACAAATCTCACTGCACTGACCATAGTAAACTCCTTCTCGTTGTACCGAAGTAGAGATCTGATTTAAACGACCAGGTACAGCATCACATTTGACACCTGAGGAAGGTACAGCCCAACTATGAGGTACATCAGCAGGTGTTACAATAATACGTAGATGAGTTTTGGCTGGTACAACCACTCTATTGTCCACTTCTAATAAACGTGATTGACCCAATTCTAGATCATCTTCTGGAATCGTATAACTGTCAAAAGTGAGTGACTGTTCATCGGAACTGTTATAGTCTGAATACTCATAAGTCCGATACCATTGATGTCCAATAGCTTTGATAGTAATGGCTGGATCTACTACTACCTCGTCCATTGAGTATAACAGAGCAAATGATGGTATAGCAATGAACATCAGGATGATACTAGGAAATATGGTCCGAAGAATCTCGATAGTAGTTCCATGAACAATCCTTTGCGGGATTGGATTTTTTTTATAGTGAAAATGCCATAAAGCGCGAACCAAGATCCGTGATACGAAAACCAAAATCAGAATGAGGAAGAAAAAGATATCGTGATGTAAGTCCATTATTCCTTGCATCATAGGTGTTGCTGCGTCTTGAAATCCTAATTGCCAAGGTTCCGCTGCATCACAAGGAGCAATTGTGAGGAATAGCCATTCTAGAACAATCATTTTGGTTGGTTCATTCTTTAACTGCTCTGCCCCCCCAAAAAAAAAGAAGAGAGACTTGTGCTTGCTCTCCCAATTCAGGAAGACGTAAATCGCCGGTTGGGCTGGTCCAACCAAGAAAAACATGGGACTTTTGGGCATTGCTTGGGCTAAGTAAAGCTTGAGTCGAGTTAAGTAAAGACTGGTTACCTATAAAGATCCCTCACTGCACACTTTCTATATATCTGTCCTCATTATCGGCTGCATGCTATCGGAGATAGAGCAATGGGAGGTTACACCACAATTCCGAATCCACTATTACAGTAATTTTTTTTTATGTCTTTATCCACGGGCAATGAGTTTATAATGTATTGGGCGTATCCGTTCCCTATTTATATACATTATTTTCGTATTAGCTTATCCGGTGCAGTTTATGCATGGCGAAAGGGAGCATTGGAATGGTCTTAGCTCCTGAATATTCAGACGAAAAAAAAAAAACTTAACTTCAACCCCGGACACTTTTTTTTTATAATATATAAGGGATTCCTTCTCTTATCCTCTATATAGCTCGTCATTGGTCCTTCGCAAGCGCGCTCCGCGAGAACTGTACATCTTTCTTAGATGAGAACACGCAGACGCAGCAGTGCCTCAACCAATAAGCGCAGAGCGAAACAATAAAAGCAAGCGTGCTTTTATTATACGTTAGACGATGCCACCTCCCACTTTACTTTAGTCCACCCGGCATAACCGCATTTCAACCAACCGACTAACTTGCCTCTCCGGGATGAGAACCCATGATTTGATCTGCTAGCTTGAACGCCTGGATCATGCCGAGAAGAGAAAGTGAAGAAAAGACTGTCGGAACCGATCGGAGGAGTATTTCAGAGTCCATCCCCGCCTTTATTGAGAAGGAAGAGATATAAAGGTTGGGCATCCATCGCTTCCGTGATGACGCGGTTGAGTGTTCATTCGATCCACCACCCGAGGCCAGGCCGATCAAACCTATCCGTTTTTGGGTTCGATTCAGAAAGTGATCCATAAGCATCAGTAAAAGCAGAAGCATATCCAGAAGGCGATACCAACAGCAGTAGAGAAAGACTCCCGCTAATAGAAAAAGAGGCATATCTGCCGATGATAACGAGAGCAGTACCGATAGCACCAATAGCATCCCTTCCAGTTCCCTTTACTAGTAAGGGGAGCCATCACCAGGGCCTATGATCCAACCGGATGGATGCCCTTATGATGATGGGCGTGATCCATAGCCGATGTTGGCTAGAAGCAGTATCAGTTGAAGCTATGGAGCACCCTTCAAGTTTCAGATCGATATTGAGTTCCATATCCACAGATATTCCAGATGTAGAGACAGATCCAAAGCTATTTGATCGAGATCGAGTAGCTATAGCGGATCCATTTAGAGATCGGAACCCCGTTCAGGGTACACCCATTTTAGTAGCAACTGACCCTAAGCCGGTAGGTCTCGTTCAAAAGCCACTTTAGTTGACGTGTCCCAATCAATGTGCTCGGTAATGATGTTGTCATCGCTGATGCGCAAGTTGCTGAAGTTTATTTTCAGTGTCTTCAGCCAATTTCAACTCAAAAATATCTGATTTCTGACACAGGTGCATTTGAGTTTGCTAAGCGCTTTTGCGTCAAGGGTGGACGCGTGGATTTATCTGCCATGTCTGCTCGTTGTTTGCTTGCTTACCAGCATCCATATGGTGGCTATATGTAAAAAATATCCATTCATTACGAAGGTTCTCTACCTTAGTAAGGATGGGTGGTGGAGGGGGTCCTTGCCAAACTCAGTCATACAAGATCTCGTCACTTTGAGCGGGTTCTTGCTATGTACACCAAGCCTCGGGGTCACAATGACTATCCATTAGAATTGTGGCTTGGCAGAGTGAGCTTTCGCTTCCTTATCTTCGGGGTTCATTATCTCCTTCCTTCCCTTCTTAAAGAGACGAAACCTTCGGATTTAAAGGCGGCCCCTGATGAATTATTTCCAACAAAAAGAGTCCGGGACCACCTCTCCCTATGGTCGAGCAAGTAAACTACCTTACCCTTTAAAGTAAGCAAGTAAACTACCTTGAGTGGTCTTTGCTCAGAAACTGGATGAAGGATTGGCTTCGGTACGTCCATTGGTACTGGAGACTGGAGTGTCGCGAATTCACCGGATGTTTCCTTAAGTGACTTCTTTCCCGCGTCAGTCTATGAGAAATCATGGAGGATCAGACGCGAATCGAGTGAGCTCATTCGCTTTGGTCTTCTTTGGAAGATCTATGATTTGGTAGCGGAGAAGGGTGTAGCTTGGGGGCCGCCATGTCTTCAAGAACACCTTCCCGGATTTCGGGGATGGTTACTAGGAGGAGTCTCTGGCATGGATTTCTTAGTCGAGTCCGATGGTTTAACCCAACCTAGGGCAAAGGGATCATCATAAGACTTTAGGCGCACCTGGGGGAAGGACTACCCTTAAAATACGCTATTAATAAACGATACCGAATTAACTGATAAAGAGACGGAACTAACAACTGCCGTAATGAACCTAAACTAAAGATGGAAAGAGTCACTCACTGAATACCTATTTATTAAAGAAGACTGAGCTAGTCCTAAAGCCGAAAGACGAAGGCAGCAAGGCGAAAGGAACAAGGGCAAAGTCAGGAACAAGGATTGTTTGTTACACGACTTATCGATTTCACCGGCTAGCTGAGGCTAGCCCGTACTAACAGAAGGTCAGGAATGAGACAGCTACTAGTGGCAGAAGGAAAGAAAGAACTTTCAGAGGGAAGCAAGCCTATGACAGGAAGGTGGGTCAAGGTTTAAGGAGCCTGACGGTCAGTCAATCACTCGTCTAGGGCCTTCCTCGCGGTCAGGCAACTCTTTCCTCGTCGGCAATCCGCTGAGACAAGCTCTCCTCCTATTTCTGCACTGCTTCCGGTTGATGGCTATTATGCCTCTTCCTGCTCTTTTGACTTCTTCGACTCGTCTTCCAGCTCAAACTAGCCAAGACTCCTATTCCGGGTAGTGTTTTTTATAGTCCTTTGCTCTTTACAAACCCCTGACTCGTTCATTCACTCGCTTGGATTCAGTCTCGTTCGGTTGTTGATTAGTTCATCGGTAGTTGGTTAGATAGTCGTGGTTGGGTTATTCACTTGGAGTTGCTTGGTAACTTCCTGGCATTATTCCGCCCTTTCGGGTGTTGGATAGTTGCTCGGGTGGTGTATTGTATTGTGGTTGGTTGCATCAGTTGATTCACTCCTTCCTCAGCATTCGTCGATTGGTGGCGTGGGAAAGGGGCATTCGATCACGGGCAAAGATGTCGATGCAACTCATTATGCAAGTTATGAATTCAAGGTAGAGGGGTTGCCTGATTCACCAGTCTTTCCTCCAGACTCATTGGTAGGGTGATGCTAAACTATCTTCTAAGGGTTGATACTATTACATAGGCTTGGGGCTCCCATGCTTTCCCACGGGTATTTTTCAGTTTGTTGGCTCCTCTTATTCTCAGCACATAGGGGGATTTCCCATCCATTTATCTTTCCATTCCTTCCCCTCATTCCAATCTTGAGGCGTACTACCATGATTCCAGGGGCCTCTTCCTCTCCCTCTCCCTCTCCTATGGTCGAGTGAGTCCCTACCTATGGTCGAGCAAGTAAACTTCCTCTCATTATTCCAATTCTCCTCCAGGGCCCTCTCACGTAAGGCTCCCTTTATTCGGGCGGACTCCCATGATTCCTTTCCCAGTGTCTATATTCCCCCCCTCATCCGAGGCTCAGACTTCACCTCCATCCTTTTTTATATCAATAGGGAGCTCATCCATCCTTCCTGCCATAAGCGGATGATCTCCTAGCGCGAAAACCATTGATCGATAGTTATACAAGGCGATCTCCGATCCCTACAGAAGATAGCTTTCAGAAGCCCGATGCTTAAACTCAAATTGCGCGATGAACTCATCAGATGAACTACTACAGGAAAGAAGAAAAATTCGACTGAAGACCCTAGAGACCGTTACAAGACAGCTCGACCGGGAAGTAGCATATCTTTCAAGAAAGAAATTCGGTTACAAGGTATTCGCCCTAATTGAATAAAAGCTATAGAATAAAAGAAGGGAACCGTATTCGTGGACAGATGAGCGTTTGCGACCGTTTACAAGAGTTAATACCGAAACAGACAATTCCAGATGCCCTCAGGCAGAAGCCACTAAACTAGTAAAGGACAACGGAAAGTATTCGTGGATCGGGAAGACCGACTCTCATTCAAGGAAGCGGGCCGTTGACGACAGCAGGCCGGGAAGGACAGATGCTACTAAAAAAGCCGATTATCGCATGTTTTTAGAGGCCATACTTGACCCATCCGACCCCTTAAACTCGCGATTTAGCAAATAAAATAGACTATTCTGGACCTTTTCCTCATGTCGCTACCAGCTACGGATCAGATATGACCGATTGAAGAAAGAAGAAAAGATCGATGAACGATTAAGCGCCTTAGAGACCAATGAAATGCGACCGAGAAGCTTTATTACACAAAAGTTCTTTGAAGACCTCTTGCTTCTGCTTCCCTGCTTACTTTTGCTATCACCTCAACTGCTTTCGACCTGCTCGCTTAGAATGAAGATCAATAATGGGCGGAAGGGCTTAACACAAGACCACAGGGCGAGAGAGAGAGCCTTCGCTTACCTGCTTAACTTAACCGTGCCCTCCTATCGTACCTATATCCCCTTTCCTTCAGTTACATCCAGCCTCAGTTCTGCTTCCAACTACCGATGGGAGGAGGCTTGGATGTTAAATAAGAGGTATGGCATACGGGAATGGTATATGAAATGAAAGGCTGGAAACAGAGCTGAAGATGAGCGCTAGCCAATGGTTAATACTTCAGAAAGCACCTTAGCAATTACCAGTAATGCCCGACCTCAGTCTTGTTTTTTGCTAGCTTGAGTCTAGAACTTTACTATCTCATTAAATGCCGAATATATATATTTTATGGAAGATAGTCGGCCCACTTCTGGGCGTTGCAGCGATTATGCCTGTTCTAGCCCTACCATCCACCCCTATCATCATAATAAAAAGGGGTACTTTCGAGCTGATCTGTGATTGGTCAAGGCGACCGAGAGGACGCATACCTCCTCTATATTCCTTAAATAGGCAAGACTCGGATACTGCATGCGAGAAGCATAATAGTTTACTGAACAACTACTTAGATCTTGATTGATTTGGATGCAATGGAATTTTTTCATTACTCCAAAAAAAGCCATCCCATGAGTATACATGACCCCACTACCTGTATAAAGCGTACATCTCTGCTCAGGGAGTAGGTCAAAGCTTTTTATAAGAAAAGTCAAAAGCTGATGGATATTGATTGAGTGGGGAAATTTCTTGACCGTCTAGTTCTTTGTCAGCACCGAAGAAAGGGGATCCGGGAAGCCTAGTCCAATGACGGTGGAAAGCAAGTAGCTAACAGGGACCCGGCTTACAGGATACTATTTCAGACGAAAAGCAAGACCAGACGATGGAGACCATATCCCTGTAGAAGGCGTGAAACTCGTCTTTGGGAAGAACTTTCTTTGCCACTTAAGAGTTTTTCTCTTTCCTGGCGTGGAAGCCCCTGGACGCTGTGCAACAACTCCTCTGATTGGCTAGACATCTCCTTGTTCGGGTCATGCACACCACAAGTAGACACAACTGGATCTCTTATTCGCCTTCCAACGGGGACTCTCTCAGGTCCTAGTTTTCTGGGAATCTCTTTTGATCATCGGGTGAATAAGCTGGTCCAGCATCAACATCATCCCCGGGCACTGGTTGTTGTCCCTCGCCTCTGGCTTGAAAGCAATCATTGATCGGCATTCTGGGCCATCTCATTTACAGCATTTGCTTGTCACGCTTCGAAAGGCCGTTTCTTTCTTCCATTGCGGACTTGTCCTTGGAGGCCTCCCTACTGGAGAATACCATTCTTTTCTCATTGACTTCTTGAGATGGAAAAATATTTTAGGAAAAGTTTATCTCACAGCAGCAGTCCATCTCGCGTCAGCAGCGCATTCTTTGATTA